TGTCACAGAGGCACCAACTGGCACCTTCACCCTCGATTCCCTACGTGTCTGGTCTGTTTGGAACTAGCGAAATCAAGCCCCAATCGACCTCAAGGCTGCGGACTCTGACGATCACCATCGAGCCAGTGCCAATGCTGAGGTTTCCTGGGGTCCTACTTCGGTTGCTACAGAAGCTTGGCCTCTCCTCCAGGGTACAAGTGAGGCACGTGGTCACCCAGCTCCTATCAGCTGACACCCGGCCCCTAGGCTTCCCCTCCAGAGTAGGTCATCCTAGCCCCCCTGCACCCCATTTCTCTCCCTAGGACACAAGGCTAGTGTCTGAGTGGTCTAGAGGAAGGGGCCACAGGAGCCAGGCTGATTGCATGATGCCAGGGCAAGTTCGCTATCCAGCCTGAACCTTCCAGTGCAGGCTGGAAGGAGGAGACAAGCCCTTGTTGTGCCCTGGCACCTACTAAAGACTGGGGTCTTCCCTCTGCTTACATATACTCAGGCCCCCTGAGTAAAGAGGGTGAAACCCTGGGCAGGGCATGATGCATTCCCAGTACAGGGCAGGTGGTGGGTTCCATCCCCAGCACTACTAAAGGGGAAATGCTGGGCCTGATGTGAAGGCCTGTAATCCCAGCTACTCTGGAGGCTGACACAGAATCACAAGCCAAAGCCTGTCTGGGCTACAGAGAGAGTTCAAGGCCAGCCGGAGTAACTTTAAATGCTGTCTCAAACAACGAAGTCTGGGGAAAGGCTGGGGATACAGCTGAGTGGTAGAGTGCAAAGCCTTGGGCTCCATCCTGGGTACAAGGAAGAGAGAGAGGGAGGGAGGAAAAGAGGAGGAAAGAATAGGGAGGGAGGGAGGGAGGGAGGGAGGGAGAGAGGGAGGGAGGGAGGGAGGGAGAGAGGGAGGGAGGGAGGGAGGGAGAGAGGGAGGGAGGGAAGGAGGGAAGGAGGGAGGGAGGGAGGGAGGGGGAAAAGAGAGAAGTTGAAACCAGCCAGTGAGCTGCCTAGAAAGCAGGAATGAGGCAGGAGCAGGGCCTGTCCCCGTGTAGCCTGGGGCATGACACTTCAAAGGGAGCTTGCAGCTCTGACTCACTTAACTCTCAAAGGAGCCTTGTGAGGCGGCTCTGTCAGGTCAGGAGACTAGAGCCCAGGAAGGGGGACTTTGCGTAGATGAGAGGAAGCACCTGCTCTGAGAAGCAGGGTTCCCACCCTCCTTTCCCAGTACCCTCTACTACTGAGCCTCAGTTCCCCATCTGTTCACTTCCCAACCCTCCTGCCCACTGTCCTCTGACTGGAGGCCTGGTCTCCAGGGCTGGAGCAACGGATGGACAGACCAGACGGGAAGACAGCAGCCTGCAGAGCCACGGAGGAGCAGGCTTCTGGAAGAGTTCCTAAGCCCCCTTTTCAACCTGATAGGCTCAGAGCCCTCCCCCATCAGGCCCCAGGCTGTGACAGAAACAGTCTCCCCTGTTCACCAGCCCTGCAGCCAGGGCTTGGAGGCCTCCAGGAATGGAGACCTCACTATAGCAAAGGTGTCCATCATCCTGTGGGCTCCTCTTCCTGAAAGTAAGCTGTAAGGAGAGCCCAGACTCTCACAGGGCCCCGGGGAAGGTTATGACCTCTCCTTTTGGGGGTAAAGGAGGCTGCTACACCAATAACCTTCCTTGTTGGACAGGTCCTCTGTGAATGGTCTGGCTTCCAGTTCCCAACTGCACTGGCCTTGCTAGAGAAGTCCCCCTGGTGTCCCCACCCTTCCTAGCTGGTGTCCTTCAGAACTGCTCCAGTAGTTCAGACAAGGTATAGGGATGTACTAGAGGACCTCCTTCTGCCTACCCCTCACCACAAAAACACTTGCCCCATGAGACTGCCCAGGACAGGAGCAGCCCAGCTTTGTGTTCGATGTATCACCCCCCTGCTGCCCCCTCTGGAGTATCACACTGCCTCATCTTGAGCTTCCGGTGCCCCTCACTCTCTCTGCTTGTTCCTCCCAGCCATCCATCTACCTCAAGGCCTGCCCTGGTTGTCAAATGCAGGGCCCCCAGCTCTGAACACCACGGGTCCCCACAGTCCAGCACTGTGGAGCCAAGACGCACACAGCATGTACTCAGTCTACCTGTGGGTCTCTGGTTAGCGGTCCGGGGCCCCAGCAGCCCTGTCCAGACGCCAGCCATCTCCAGGATGCGCCCAGCCACCTTGAGGACTGGGAAACCACAAACCACTGGACATCTGATACACATGAACCACACAGCGCCTCCTCCTTCCGGCCCATTTCCCTCTCTTGGTGCTACGCCGTCCTGCTGCCCAGGGCCCCAGGGCTCAAAAGGAGAGAGGTTCGGCTCCCCGCCCCCAGCCACTTCCCGCACTGTGCCCGCATCTGATGCCCATGCTCACGCGGTGGCTAATTCTGGCGTCTCATCAGACGGTAATTATGGGGGAATGAGCAGCACTGTCATCTCTGCGGCTCAGCACCTGTCACCACTCTGCCATCACGGGCTGCCGGGATGGGACAGAAGCAGAGGGGGAGGGAGGTCTGGAGAAGGGCCCTGACCTCCCCACAGGTGACCAGTACATGTCCCTGGGGTGGTCACTGCTCTCCTGGCCAAGAGCAAAGGTCACAGGACTATTCACATGTCCTGCTGAACTGATTCATATGTCCTGGCATCACCACATGGCCTAGCACGCAACAGGCCTGTGCTGATTGTTGATTGACTACATGACCATGTATACACCAGATACAGTCCCAGAAGGGGAGCCACAGAAGACCCAGCGTAGAGAACAGAAAACCGGGCCTGGTGGAACTGGGCACATCTCCCCAGGATGTGGTGAAGGTGTGGCAGAGGACTGGAGAGGAGGGAGACGAACTTCACAGTCCGTTCTCAGGATCCAGGACTAACAAGGAATGCCTCCTGCAGAAAGTGAGTGGGCAGCCTCTCCTACTGCCCAAACAACATGAAAGATTGAAGCTAGACTCAAGACAGGCTTTGGGAGGAAGGCAGAACAGTGAGAGGAGGCAGGGGTGGAGCCTGGGGTCATCTGTCTGACTCTGGGCATGTTACATGATTTCCTGTCATATCTGCCTTGTCCCCCCACAAAAGACAGCATCTCATTGCCACTCTGGGGACAGCAGAGGAGGTAGTGAACTATGGAACCATCATTACAAAGATCTTAAGCCTTCACACCTCTCACAGTGTCCCCAAAACCACCGCCACCAGAAGCCAATGGTCTCATCACACCAGTCAGGTTGTACCTGCACCCCATATTCCACTGCCTTATCCTCAGAGCCTGGGGAACCCATAGATCTACCTAAAAACAGCAACATAGGGACTAAGCCCACCCCGGATGTCCTGGCTCCCACTCCCACGGCATTCTAACAATGTCCACACCCATTCTAAAATCCATCCATATTTTCTACTCAGAACAAGGCAAGACCGGGAGCTGCCACACCTTTCTATGAATACAGGAAGTAAGTCTCTGGAGGTAGTGAGCCCCCCTCCCCAATCACTGGGGGTATTCCGGAAGCAGGTAGGCAGAAAAAGAAGGCCTTGGCCTCTCTGCTAGAGCAGGCCTCCTCCCACAGGCCCCCTGAGGTCTGTCAGGGGTCTGGGGAGGACCAGGCCTGCTTGGGAGGGAGTGCTGGCTCCTCCCCACCTTCTCGGTTAGGAGCTGAGGCTGGGGAGGGCAGGAGCATGGCTGCTCTTTTAGGAAAACGGTAATTTTAATTAAGAGGCAGACAAACGAGCGCTCCGCAGATTGTCTCAGAGCAAAGTTATTAAAAAGCCATCAAGGCGGCGGCGGCAGCCACAGCAGTGAAGAGGGCCGCCCCCCCACCGTGTCCGCCTGGATTGGGCATCAAAGGAGGGGTGGAGGACAGAGTCACCGCCCAGATGGGCTCTGCAGCCCCTCACCTCTGGAGTAGGTGGGCAGTACCATACAGCAACTAGGCACAGCCAGCCCAGCCCTGGGCCGGAGGCAGAAAGAGAACCCACCTCCAGAGCACCCTGCTCCCTGCTCGGGCGGGACCCCCACTGGTCAGTGCCTGTCCCTCTTCACAGCCTGTCACGTGTCACATGCAAATTCTCACTGTGACCCATAGGCCAGACCAATGAAGCTCAGAGAAGGGAAGGGGTTCGCCCTAGACCACACAGTTACAAAGGCTTAGATGGGGATTTGACCACAGGCCACCCTGACTCTCAGGGCTCTGAGCACAGGAGGAGGGCAGGGGGCTGCCTAGTCCAGGTTCCAAAAGGCCTTAGCACTTTTTGAGCTGCTCCCAGCCTCCAGGGAATCAGAGGAGTCTGAGTCAATGTTTGCTTGATGGGGTGGGACAGCATAGGTCTCAGGACACTCAACAGGGACAGAGAGGACGGTACAAAGGGGTTTCCAGCATCAGCAGGCTAAGCCCATAAGGTGTCAGTGGGGGACAGATGTCACCTTGGTGCGTGGGGGACAGATGTCACTGCTGGAGGCTAGACTGCTGCTACATTACAAGACACCTGCCCCTCGACCTGGCCCCCTAAGGCAGCCCCGGCCAGGCAGAGTGGCAAGGCATGGCCCTGCCGGGTCTCCCTCTCCTGCCCTCCGGACCCTGTGCCGGCTCAGTGGCTCTCCAAAGTGAAGTGGATACTGAGGGATAAGGCGACTGAAAAACAAGCCCTGAGGTCACCTGACCCAGGTCCTCCCCCCTTCCCCCACTCCCCGACCCCAGCAGAATCCCTGGGGCCTCATCTCCCGGCAGAGATGGCCTGCCTCTAGCCCATGCCCAGCCCACACAGACACACACCTACGTACATGCCTGTGAGCTCACACAGGCACACTTACATGCACACGTGCACACAGACACATATTTGCCAGGCAAGACGCCCTCCCCACATGGAGATCTGCCGTCCCCTCCCCCTGACGTATGCCTGGCCCCCTGGGGACAGCCCTCCCAGTGGCCCATTGTGACCCTTCGCAAGCAGGGGAGGGTGCTGACTAGGTGGCCGTGGTGGGCTCCCTCCTGGCTTACTAACCTGGAGACTTTAAACAGAGGGAACAGAGTCCTGCCGGCTTCCCTCCCGCCGCTCGCTGGAGCCCTGGGTGAGGGACAGGAAAGGAGGAAACCAATGAATGAGCTGAATGAGCTGGGGCAGGAAGGCTGGGCCAGGGGGCGGGAAGCAGCAAGGCAGGGCTTTAGGAGCTGTCCCTTCGGAGGTCACCAGGGTGTGGGGGGCTCCCCTCGGGGTAGAGACCAGGACTGGAGGAGGGGCAGGGAATAAAAGGACAAAGACATCACTTGGGGCAGACAGGAGGACAGACAGTAACAACATGGAAAACATGGGCCCCTCGTCAGACAGACAGACAGCCCTGATCTTCTTTCTGGGAATAGGGAGCAGACGCTTGGCTTAGATGCCCAGTTAAGACCCCAAATGTAGCACCCATGGGGGCCCAACGGCTCCCCCTATCCAGGTCTCCTATTTGGGGCAGGAATGGGGTCAAGGTCAGAGGGTCAGCATCACTGCTCACCGACCTTCCCCCAGCTCCAAAGACCCTCAGTCTGTCAACCTCATCCCCAACCATGAGTGTCCTGCTGCCCCCAACAGAGCAGACGGGCACTACACAGCCTACAGGTGTTCACATTTAAACCTTGATTGGCCTTTTGGCAGGGAAAAGCTCTGTCCCCATCCCTGCCAGAGGGCCCTATGCTAGCTCCCGCCTGCAGCAGGGGCCCTGGATCTTCCCTCATACCTCTCCCTCCGTACACAGAAGAACCTCCTAAACCTATCCTGCCCCACGCTAACAGATACCACCTATTTTTTGCCGTGGGGTCTGAGGTACAAAGCCCCTTCAGCTTGGAGACACTGCATCTGGGCACAGCTTTCACTTGGCTAGCCCAGGCACATCCGCACTCACTGCACGCACTCCCTGAGCCCCCTGCCAATCTCCCAGTTCCAATTTTCCCACCGATTACCCGACGCAGGGACACCCCGGGGAGAAACAGCTGCTGTACCCAGATGTGGGCAGACTACTGAGAAAGCAAGAAAGAATGCACCACCAATCTAGCACCCCAGGGTGCCCCAGATTGGGGGACGGTGAGAGGGGCAGACTGACTGACGAGGGGTACAAAGACAGCCTCAACACCCCGAGTCTCCCCACTCCTTGTGTTGGTTTTTTGAGAAGCGTGAGTGGTCCAGGATGACCTTGAACTCTGACCCACCTTCCATGGTGCTGGAACTACAATGCTGCTCGCACCCCCTCTCCAATCCCTCCTCACCGCCCTCCCCAGAGACCTGCCCTCTGGGCAGGTGAAGCACTGAGTCTCAGGAGCTTCAAGGTTTCTTGCAGAATCTTTCCACCTCTGTCCAAATTCTCTCACTGAATCCGGAGTCTGCAAGACAGCCACCGTGAATACTTCAAGGTACAGAGAAGTGAAGCCATGTCCACAGGGAGTGTCCCCCGAGCTGCTCCTAGACTCCTCCCATCCAGCCTCCCCTTGCATCAATATTTGGGAAGTTCTCCCTGAAGTCTAACTGTGGTCCATTACATGCTCCAGTAGATTTTTTTTTTTCAGTCTTCCTGCCTCATTCTAGGGCAGGTGACTGACCCTGGGCTGTTAGGTGGATGACAGAGTGGACGAGACAATGAGAGTCTGTCTTTATGTGCCTGTCAGTCTGTCTGCCCCCTCACCAGCCCCCACAGGGCTCAAGGTTTCCTGAGCTTTCACTGTGGGTAACTTTAACTCTATGGGAGCCCCTTTCCTGGCCCTCCTGATCTAGCAACGGTAGCAGGCAAGCCCCTCAGAGGCCTCTTCCTGCCTAACACACCAGGAGTCCTAGGCTTCTGAGAACCAGGGTTGGTAGTGAGGGTCTGTGTCCGCTAAGGGCTGTTATAAGCCCTGCACACCTTCTTGGGGAGCTGGGAGCTTAATTCCCCTCAATGAGGCAGCAGCTTGTATCTGGGCCACTGCAGGGACACCTACCCCTCAGCAATTATCAGGCGACTGAAGGGGGGGGACACAGAAGGATATGTCACCCTCTCCCAGACTGCGTACAAACACCTCTGGCTGGGGCTGAGGCTTGTTGAGTTCTGGGGTTCCCAGCGATGAGACCCGATGAGCACTTCCTTCCTAGGTCGGGATATTCCACCCCGGGTCTTGCAGACAGCCGAGCCTTCTGCCCACAGTTCTCAGAGAACCTGGTAGCAGGGGCTGAAGGCCGGCCGCCGGCTGGACCCGCAGCAGGAGGGAAAACAAGGACTGGATTACGGTTCCTCCACAGAGTGGAGTGCAGGGCTGGCAGGGGCTTCCAGCCCCCTCACCCATCCCCGAGGCTGGAGGACAGATGCAGGCAAGGTATATCACAGTCAGGGAGTGAGGAGCTGCTGTCTGTAAGCCGCCAGTGTGTGCATGTGTGTGCACCCAAATGTCTTGGCCTTGAGCCATTTCTTCTGGCTCAGCTGAAGCTGAGAAGTATTCCCCCCACCCTTCATGTGACAAGGCATTTCTTATCTCAGGGGACAGGAGGTGGGGAGAATCTTAGACAACTGACAGGGAGCTTAAAACCCTCTATTTCTAACTTCTATACTTATATCAAGGACACTGAGGACCAGAGAGGGCAACAAAGTTGCCAAGGTCACACAGCAACAGAGAAGACACCAGTCTAAGCTTCTTCTTGAGGGAACAAAAGGGACTTCCCATTGCTTCCTTTGTCCCACAACTCAGGACCCCCTCAGTCACGCACAGGAGTTAGCTTCTGGAAGAGGGTGCCATGCTCTCCAGTCCCCTGCTCCTAGCTGTTAACACTAGCTTGTACTCCCAACCGCTGACCCCTCCTCCTCCCACACTGGGAAATGCTTCTCTCTATGTGACCTCCATTCCTCCTGCTGTAGCGTGGGCTTGTTTCCTCTCAAGCTGTCCTATGCAGGGGCAGGGAGAGGGGAGCAGAGCGGACTTGCAGCCTCCACACCCCACCAGCATCGAGGACCAGGGCAGTGTGTCCTGGGAGTTGGCCCGATGCCCGGTTTGCACAAGGCGGAAGAGTGGCGGATGTAGCAACCCGAATATAGGAAAAGAGCTCTTCTAGGGATTGGCCAGCCACATCCACTCCCAAGTCCAGCCTGGGGCTAGCAGTCTCTAGAACCCCAGTCTGCTTATCACAGGCCAGGCACGGTGCTAGACGTTATCTGTTATCTCATGTATTCTTCACTATTCCATGAGCAGAAACTAATTTTGCCCCCAGGGTCAGTGCTGCCCTAAAACTGAGTCTAACCCCGTTCCCACTTACTGCATTTCTTCTGCTCCAGTCCCTGGCGATGGAGTTCATTTTTGTCCTTCAGAAGCTGCCATCGTGACTCAGTGGTCTCACACTACCTCTTCTAGGCCACCAGCCTTTATCCCAGCCTTGCCCCAGGTAGCAGGGGACACGTATTTGAAGAGAGCCACCGAAGGACTAAGGGCTGGGGTCCAGGGCCCTGCCCTGTGCCAGGTATGGAGTACACCTGGGTGGCAAGGAGGCAGGACCTGTAGAAGATCAGGATGGGTGGACCCGGGCCTCTGGGGTTCTACACACACACACACACACACACACACACACACACACACACGGTCTCAGGCTAGGCAGGAAATAACCTCTTCTCTCCTGGCCTCCATGTCTGAGGCTCAAGTCTCAGCTCTCAATCCCAGAGTTCGGGGGCCTGGTCTGGAACAGGGGGGAAAGGACACCACTGGCCTCGCTGTGCACTGTGACCTGAACGGAACCTGAAGGTCCTGACGAAGCGGAGCACCTAGCATTGCAGGCTACAAGAAGCGATCTGACACCCTACTGCCCAGCCCTGCAGGATCCCCTCCACCAAGACCATACATACTGTCTCCTGCTTTAGAGCAGGGACACGGGATGGGGCGAGGGACACGACGACACAACACCCACCTTCCCGGGGCTTAGCTCCCACCCTCTAAGAAGCTGGAGCCCTGGGAGTTGAGCCAATGGGTGAGGGGAGCTGGAAAGATAGGCGGGACTCTGGGCCCCATGTGGGTGGTGTCCTTCCCCCTGCGAGCAGGCGCTATTAACATATGCAAAGCATATGCAAATCACCCAGAAGAGAGACACAACATCGCAGGAATGTCAGAAGAGACCTTGGAGATTATCCAGCCCCGCCCCCTCATCTCAGGTGAGAAAGGAGACCAGGGAAGGGACTTGCTCAAGGTCACACAGACATCTTAGGCCTGAGACAGGATTAGTGCAGGGCTCCAGGCTCAGTATTGTTTCTGATGATCATCTGTTATCTGGGGGGGGGGGGGGGGGGGCATTAACCAGGGGAGAGTGTGGCCAGGGCCTGGCATGGTGCCCAGCAGCTTCCTGGATCCCACTTGCCTCCCTGGAGCCTGAAGGTAGTCTGATGGGCACGGGTTGAGAGACAGCTGTGTGACAGACGTACCTTTAGGGAACAGGAACCAGAAGGTCTGGGCAAAAGAAAAAATAAAAAATCCGTTGGGGAGGTGAATGCCAGAAGGTAACCGAAGTGTGTGAGGCAGGGGCATGAAGAGCCGAATGTCAAGGTGAAGTGCCTGAGGTGGTGTGGGAGGGGACACACACACACACACACACACACACACACACACACACACACACACCATGCAGCCTTGAGTGTGCTCAAATGCACAGCAGCCCCTTCAGCCTGCACTCTGACAGTGATGGCACCTGACAGCCCATAATAGTCAGCTGGCCCATCCCTGCCGAGGCTGCGGCTATGGCTGTTCAGCGAATGCTCCCCTCAGCAGCAACCTTCCACTCAGTCCTAGAAAGCAGGGTTGCTGCTGGGGCAGAGAAGACAGACAGAGGGCAGGGGCCGCCAGAGAGAGCAAGGGGACTTTTGAAGGAGAGGGGACGCTGGCGGCTGGGGGAGGGGCAGGGAGGTGGGAGACTGGCAGAGAGGAGAGGTGGGGGGCCTGAGGTGACAAGAGGGGACTCGGGAACAGAAGGGAAGGATGGTGTGGGGTCCTAGGGGCCTGGAGGACCACACTAGAGCCTGGGTCCTGGGTAAGGAGGCCTGCCACTGAGGTGCTACACTGTCAGCAGGGGTTGGGGACCATGCCTCTGCCCATCACTGGCTGCCAAGGAATCGGCCCTCCCTCTCTCCCCTCCTCCTCTCTCCCTTGGGGCAGGAGCTGCTTCCCAGCCAAATCCAAAGCCTTCATCTCCTCTTTTCAGAGCTGGGAATGAAAGAAGGGAGGCGGGAGCAGCCCTCCAACCCGCTGACGGACAGATTTTTATTATCTTTGCTCAAATGGGCCCTGGGAAGCCAGCTAAGGAGTCTTCAAAGAGCCTCTGAGTGCCTTATTGAAGCTGCACCTGCTCCGGCCCACCCACAGCAGGCGTGGGCTGGGGACACAACTTATCCCCAGCGCCCCCAACTCCAGGACCCTGAGCCAAGGATGCCAGAAGCCTCAACCTCAGCACCTTGTGTCCAGGCAGGGGCCACAAGGTCAGGGAGCCAGGCCAGACCTGGGCCAGTTGGGCATCTAGGCAGGAACTGTCCCTATCTGGGCCTGAACGACAGAAATGAAGAAGGAAAACGAATCTCCTTGCCAGAGCTTAGAGATAAGTGCTTAGAATTCCTCGAAAGAGATGCCTTCATGGCCAGCCTGGGATTTTCCCCTGGACCCTGACCTGCCTGGGCACCTGCAGGCCACTCCATTCCTCCAGACTCCCGGTGATAGCAGGGACCTTCTCAAGCACCGCCGCTTTGCACTGGGCTCCCAGCTCACTGAAAGAGGTCAAATTCCTGTGACCAGCCTTCCTCTCACCTGAACACAGTGCCCAGCAGTCTCTGCCCTCAGCTGGGGTGCTCTGCTTCCCTCAACACCTATCTGGGGTGGAGGTGGGGAGCTTCAAAGAGCCCAGTCCTATCCCTGCTCAGCACTTCCAGGGCTGGGGTTTTGGCAGAGAATGCCAAGGTTAGCCCTCGGCAGACAGAGCTTGTACCCCCCCCCCCCCCATCCTCCATCCCCTGCTCTTGACCACACCATCGAGATCGATGCCCGCAGCCAAAAAGGAATCAATGGCTCTACTAATTAAACCCTTTTCTTGGGTGGGTCCCTGGACAGGGAGGGGGGAACTCTCAGAGGAGCCGTGCATCCTGGTGGGTCACTACTTACCTTTAAGAGGCTATATAAGTAAGTCCACCACGGAGCCCCCAGACCTCCTGTGCTAGTGGAAGGTAAGCAGAGGACCAGGGGGAAAGCTTGGGGTGGGAGCATGCCTCTGAGGGCTTGTTCTAGGGACCCTTCCCCTAGTGAGGCTCCTCTCCCCTCTCCCAGACTCAGCCTATATTTGTTTCTTCTAGGCAGATCTCCAGAATAGGAGCCAGAAGGGAGACCCACCACCCGAGGTTCCATCCCAGGGTCGTCACTGAGAGCTAGCCCTCCAGGAAAGGAAGGAAGGATGCAGGACTGGGGGGCAGCATTAGACAAAGACCCTCTTGTCCCCAAGACAGAGTGGCAAGGAGCCAGGGCAAAGCCTTTGCACTCACAGCCAATGGTGCCTGGGTACCAGGCAGCCTGGGGGGGAGCCCCCTCCGTATGTCCAGAGCCCTCACCCACCCTTGCTTCTACACTAGGCTAAGTCTCTACTCCAGTTCCCAGCCTATCCAAGAGCACTCCTTCTGGCTGATTATCACCCTGGACACTTACCCTGAGTGACCCACACACCAACCAGAATCAACCAGACCCCCGTACCCATATACCACAACTGCCCCCCACTTACAAACACACACCAGCCATGCTAGAAACCAACACTGTCCCAGCTGCCACCAGAGATGACCGCCTCTCATCTCTACAGTAACTGTCTCCCATCCGACACACCATCAGTTGTTTAAGACCAGCCACAGGGACAGAGAAGGGAAAGGGAGAAACTGAGGCACAGAGTCAGACCGCCAAGCTATTGGCTCAAGGTCACCCAGACCAAGATGACCAGAGTAGAGGAAGGTATCTTAATACCCCACCCCAAATGGCACAAACCCCACCTGAAGGAACAGCACCCCAAAAGGCACAAACCCCACCCAAAGGAACAGTCAGATCCCTAGTCTGCTCAGTTTCTCCACTTCCCACCTTTATCCCAAAACACCTTCTGAGGGCCTGCAGCCAAAAAGCCCCAGCTGGGGCCTGCAGAGCCCCAGGTCCGGCAATATTCGAGAGGGGCTGGAAAAGACAGTTCAGACCGCCTTGCTCACACTGCTGATCCTGCTCACCTGGCTCCCCTCGGCCCCCAGGGTCCCTTGGTCCAACCTCCTCCCTGGGAGATCGGGCGCGACCCTCCGCGGTCCTCTCCCACCAGGCCAGGGCAAAGCGCCGGAGGCACTGCCAGGGCTGCATGGGGAGGCGTGGGGCTGGGGGTGCGCACCAGCAGCCACACACGCCCCACCGGGCCCTGCCAGCTGAGCTGCGGAGGCACCCGGTCGGCCCCCTCTACTGCCACCAGCATCCTGCTGCCCCCACCGACAGGACTCGGAGCTGGCCCGGGAGCTTCTGACGTAGCAGGGGGGTGCGTGGGAGAGGAGGGGGGGCCACGACGAGTCCCCTCCCCAGCCCCGCCCCTCTACTTCTCCAGCCCCCTGCAGTCCCCACCTCCTCATCACCCCGGACGCCCTCCCCAGCTGGGGGCGCCCTCCTTTGCCCCTTGCCTCTGCAGGGGGAGGGTTTACGATCCAGAAGCCCCTCCCTCAGTCCCTCCCTCTCCAGGGCCCTCCCTACCCGCCCGGCGAGCGGGGAGCAGGTCCCCAGTTTCTGCAACTGCTGAGGAGGCTTAGGAGGTCTCCAGGGCTAGGGCCTCGAGGTGCAGGGGGTGGGGTGTAGCATACAGCCTTGTATCCTGGCAACACAGCCAAACCCAGAGCGCTCGCGGTCCCTTGCTTCCCTAAGGGACCGGCGCGAAGGGTCCAGCACTACCAGCCCAGCGCCTGCACCCCATCCTAAGAGCTGAGGCGGAGATGATGCTCTTCCCTTCATCCCCGACCCTTCCCCCGCAACATCCCTGGCCTCACCTCGCATGGACCCTTCCCCTCCCCCCACTCTCCTCGCCATCCCCCCCCTTCACCCACCCCTCCCCCCTACATTGTAACCCCAGGTCCCCTCCCCCCCGGGCACCGAGAGGCCCTCCTCGCCCGGTCTCCAGCTTCGCCAGCTCCAGACCCTCTCGGCTCCCCGCGCTCTCCCGCCCTGGTCCTCCCCAGCCCGGCGCGCAGCTGTCCCCTGCCCCCCGCAACACCTGCGCCCGGAGCATCCCTAGCCCGGCCGGCCGCCGCCTCCCGGGCCCGGCCGCCGCCCCCGCCCCCGGCCGAGGGGAAAACACACAAAGAAAACAGAAATACCTTCCACTTAAGCATGGAGGCACATTAGGGAGGAGAGAGACAGGGACATGCCTTGGGACGGAGCGTTCCCCATCGGGCGGGGGCGCGGGGGGCGGGGGCCCCGGGCCGGCCTGCCTGGCGCTCGCCCTCTCGCCGCCTCGCGGGCTCCTCGCTCGGCCCCAGCCCCGGGGCGCGGTGCCAGGCGGGCGGGCCGGGGGCGCGGGCCCCGCCGGGGTGGACCAGCTTGGGAGGGCGCCGGCGGCCGGGCGTGTGGGTGCGCGCGCGCGCGCGGGCGTGTCACCGAGTGTGCGAGAGCGAGTGTGTGTCTCTGTGTGTGTGTGTGTGTGTGCGCGCGAGTGCGCGCGTGCGGCCGGCGCGGGTGTGTCACTGCGGGCGGGAGCGCGCGCGACGCGGGCACGCGCGTGTGGCCGGATGGTACAAAGGGCCGCCGGGGGGTGGCGGGGAGCGGGGGAGGGGGAAGGGGCACTGCGCTCCCTCGCGCCCTCCGGCAGCACGCCGGGATCCCGCAGCACACGGGCGGGACTGGGGTGCCGGGCGCGCTCACGCTCCGCCCCCCACTCCACCTGCTCCCCCCCCCCACACACACACACCCTAAGCGGTCCTCCAGCCGCGGTAGAAACAAATGCGTTGACCCCGGAGTGGCCTCGAAGGAGGCACCTGGGGAGGTGGCGCCTTGGGTCTGTAAGCACGCCTTGGGACAGACAGACAAGCGCCCCTGGGCGCGGCGGAGCAGATGGGGAGAGGACGAGAGAAGGGGGAGCACTCTCCAGCCAAGGTGACCTCGGAACGCCACAGTCGCTCTACACCCAGAGTTCAGACCCCCAGTGTGCCTCTCCTCGGTCGCGCCCCCTCACCCCTGCCCCTCCCCCGTCTAAAGCCACCCCTCGGCCAGGGACCCAGCTCTCCGGCGCCCCCTGCTGGACAGCCTCCTAGCCCCTCCTTGGGTTTCCCGCCCCTACCTCCGGCGCGAGCAGGTACTGCATGCGAGTGAGGGAGGAGACATCGATCCCCTCTGAAGTGGACCCCAACCAAGTAGGACGCTCCAGACCGTCTTCTCACGCCTCTTCTGGTGACACCTTTGCCACTTCCACGGCAGCCTGCAAAGCGCCATCTCGGCACGCCCCACCCTGGTTCACCTTCCTTGGCCTACCTGGTAATTCTGCAGACTTCTCCATCTCCAGCTTGGACCCAGACCCTCGTTGACCTTTTGTGCTCAGGCTTTTCCCTCCTTCCTTCCCCCGGGTTTTGTGGCCAGTTTCTCCTCTCAGAACCCTCTCTTCGAGAGGGGCAGGTGGGCTAAGCCCTCTGTCCGTTTTATTTACTCCTGGCATTCCCAGAGGGAGTTCAGATGGTCAAGGAGAGGCCACTCAGTGCCTACATCTCTTCCCTTCAGTCCACCCAGCAGAATGGCTGGCAGACAGAGCCCAGGAGAGGAGACCCCACCCCAAGTGGCCCAGATGACAAACCGGTTTCCCCACTTCTTCATCTACCCAGTCCCAGCCTTAATCTGGGCTCTCCTGCTTTTCTGCCCGCCCCCAGGCCTGCCTCTGAGCCAGCCACATGCCCAGCTAGGGGCAAGGTCCCAAATGCCCCTTACAGATCAATTCCAGTTCCACTAACTCAGGTGGCAGGGCACGGCGGTGAGAGGGGACTCGGCTCCAGCTGGCCATCTCAGGAGGACAGCCAAGAACTGTGTCCTGGACACATGGTCTGGGCACACAACCCCAGCAGTTAAGACCATGACTTCTCTCCTGGGCCAGCTGCTTTTCCCTCTGCCAACTGGATGGTGCCCATCTTTTGGCCTCTGGGCACTCACTGGGCACCCTTCCAGCTCCCTGCCTGGCTGCCTGCCTAAGATGGGCACTAGGAAACCGCAGGCCCTGTGCATGGGAGGGGTCACAGCCTGGCACACACCTCTCCCTCCTTCAGAATTTCACATTGCTCTATAAGACTCCTCTGCCTTTGGGGTGGTCCCAACCCAGAACCCCCCACCAGGAACAAAATGTCTTCTTGTCCCTATTCTGTGCCCATCTAAGGGGAAGGGCATCAGCCAGTACTTTACCCAATAGTCTCTAATTTAATCCTGCCACATTAGCCATATATCAAAAATAAAGGTGCACACCTGTCATCCTAGATTTGGGAGGTAAAGGCAGTTGGATCAACACAAAGTTTAGGCCAGTCTGATCTCCCTAAGTGAGTTCTATTCTGGCCAGGGATACGTGATGAGACCTTGCCCAAGAAACAAAACAAAATAGAAGCCAGGCGGTGGTGGTGGCACACACCTTTAATCCCAGCACTCGGGAGGCAGGGGCAGGCAGATCTCTGTGAGTTCGAGGCCAGCCTGGTCTACAGAGTGAGACCCAGGACAGGCACCAAAACAACACAGAGAAAACCCTGTCTCAAAAAAACAACAACAAAAAAAAAAAAAAAAAAAGAAGAAAGAAAGAAAGAAAGAGGAAAAGAAAGAAAGGAAGGAAGAAAGTTTCCAAGAAGTTTAGACAACGGCCCAATCCAAGAGCCTCTGAGGTAAAACTGAGCCCCAGGCTGGTCTGACTCTAGAACACCCAGCCTCTGTTCTACTTCCACTGCCATCTTACCCTGTGACTACCGGAAGCAGAGACCAGCCCTGGCACCCCAAGTTCCACACCCACACAGCTATTAGCAGACAGCAGGGGGACCAGTGAAGCAGAGTTAGGACAGGGGCTGTCCCGTCCCCAAGGACCTGAGCATTCTCTCTGAGGTGACAATTGAAGATGCTTCTCCTCTTCTCTCCTATTCTGTGGGTTCTGCTGCATTTAACACTTGACTCCTAGACTCACCAACAAGTCACGGATCAAGACTGGGTGGGAAAGGGGGGGGAGAATCAGCACCTGGGAATATGAGCTCCAAAGACGGCTCCAGAGGAGGCCCTCCGGATCAAGGACACAGTCATCAGGTGTAAGGCGTTTTTCATTTATGCAACTCTTCTCTATTTCTGTGGTGGTGGTGGTGTTGAAACACTCTTGTTATTTAGTTCAGGCTGACCTTCAGCCTACGGTCCTCCTGCATCAGTTTCCCTAGTGCTGGGATCACAGATGTTGGCCACCGGGCATGGCTCGTGTAGCTCACTTTTATTTGTTTGTTTTGTTTCAGTGCTTTAAATACAGTGCTGGGATTGAACCCAGAGCCCCCACAACACGTTCTGCGCACATGCTCTATCCCTAGGTCACTTTTTTTTTTTTTTTTTTTTTTTTTTTGATTTTTCAAGACAGGGTTTCTCTGTGTAGCTTTGCGCCTTTCCTGGAACTCACTTGGTAGTCCAGGCTGGCCTCGAACTCACAGAGATCCGCCTGGCTCTGCTTCCCGAGTGCTGGGATTAAAGGCGTGCGCCACCACCGCCCGGCTGGGTCACGTTTTAATAATGGTAAATCCTTCACATTTCTGATCGTCTCAGAGCTAAGAACTCACTGAGACGCACACACCCTCTACTCTCCAAAGACCCTCTATATACATTACACATACACCAGGACAGCTAGCCCCGAGGGCTCCATGGAAGCATGATGATAAACAGAGTCTAAACAGAAACATAGGTCTCACGGTCCCAAACAACGACCTGACGGTCATCCTTCAGGGATGCCACCTCCCATGAGGCCTCTGAAGGAGGAGAGCTCTGCTCCTAGGAGGAGGCTGAGGAGGGGCTTCAACAGCCTGGGTGTTCCTTATCCAGCAGAAGCAAGCAGAATGGCTTCTCTATGCTGCATGGTGCCCAGCCAACCCTCATGCCAGCTGCCTCCACCTGAGATGCCTCAGGTGCTGCCCCGCCTTTTCTCATTCCTCAACATAACTTCCCTCTGGTCCTCCTCCCCTGTGGCGCTGGCGATGCTCTTCCTAGCCAGCAGCTGGCACGTTTGAGGATTGGGAAAAACAGTTCCTCACCACTCCTTCTGTCCTTCTGAAATACTCCAGGGCCCTGGCCCACTCTAAGGGCAGCAGAAAGGAGAGTCGTTCGGGAGCAGCCCAGAGTGGGGAGTTCTCACCCTTTCCTCCTCTTCCCTAAGACATTGTAGCAGCAGGCCTGGCACCTGGACAAACATCTGGGCAAAAAGGGAGCACAAGGGGCTCCGAGGATTCGCGTAGTTAGTAAAGCGGGTGATGAGGAAATCAAGGCTGACCCGCGCTCGAACTTCCCATTCTGCACCGTGAAGCATCTGCGTGAGGTGAGGTTCCCTAAGAATGTCCCCCGCTCCGTTTGTCTGGCCAGGGCATTTCGGGAGCCCCATAGAGCCATCCAGAAAGCACTAAGCAGTGACCAAGCATTGAGGTGGAAGATGCGGCAGGGCAGCTGAGGAGGGAAGACGGCGCTGCCCCTCAGCCAGGCTAGCAGCTGGGACCCTAGATCCTGGATACCTCTCTTCTCACGGAGCTCGGGGTTCACCCCCACTCCCACTCCACAGGAGAGCCCTAAGTGGCTGTAAATTTCCAATGACTCTCCTGACTCCCTCAGGTCCCCCCTCCCTCGCTTGTTATTGTACCGAATGCAAATGGTGCTCGATAATTGATGCCTTCATTAGCACATCAAACTGCTTTCCAGAGAAGGGAGAGAGAGAATGCGGAAGGGGTTCTCTGGGGCTGGCCCCCTTCACAGACCCTCAGCCGACCCTCCACCTCCCAGCCCCCGCAGTGGAGTGGGCAGCGTTCTCAGGGCCCCCAGGCTCTAGCTGCCCTGTCCCCTAGCAAGGAACCTAAGCTCTCCTTTCAGACTGGGAACTCCTTGTGGTAGACGCTGAGTCTCCTTCATTAAAGGAGGTCTCGGCAAACTGGAAAAGCAGAGCCCTTTGGTGGCTTGTTGGAAGAGAGGTGCTGTCCCCCAAGTTTCAGAGTCCGTAGGTTCGAGGGGATGTGCATTTCTACCAAGTTCCCAAGAAGTGGGCTGCGCAGGGCCAGGACACACTTGCCGACCTAGTTGGGTGGTGACTGCCTTCTGGCTCTTCCAGCTTAGGGCTTTGCCCACAGAGGCAAGGTCCTGGCAGGGCCTGGCCCACATGGGGAGTGTCTGAGGCCTTCTCAGCTCATGAATCCCCTTCTGTTTTCCTCACACCGTCAAGGAAGTTCCCTGCTGTCTGGAGGCCATTCCTGTCTCCCTAAACTTTAACCCTCCACACTGAGAGACGGGTGGGGTCTCCTGAAACCCCGCTGTGTGCCAGGTCCATGCTTCGTGATGCTGGCATTCTCTCCTAACAATCAAACAGGAAGCGTGGCTTCCCAGCACCTCACCCCTCTCGGGGGACTTCCTGGGGACTAGATGTGGGGGGGTGCCTTATGACTGCAGTCCAGAAACATGCAGCTCTCTATCCTCACTCTGTCCCTCAGGTATCTTGAGCTGGACATGAGGCAGTGTAAATTTGTAATCTCAGTTACTCAGGAGACTGAGGAACAAGGACCAAGAGTCTAAGGCAAGCTGAGCTAAGCAATTAGTGTGAGGGCAGCCTGGAATACACAATAAGTCCTTGTGAAGAAGAAGAAGAAGAAGAAGAAGAAGAAGAGAAGAAGAAGAAGAAGAAGAAGAAGAAGAAGAAGAAGAAGAAGAAGAAGAGGAAGAGGGAGGCAGGAGGAGGAGGAGGAGGAGGAGGAAGAGGAGGAAGGAGAGGAGGAAGGAGAAGAGGAAGAAGGGAAGGAAGAAGGAAAGGAAAGAAAGAAAGAAAGAAAGAAAGAAAGAAAGAAAGAAAGAAAAGAAAGGAAGAAAGAAAGAAAGAAAGAAAGAAAGAAAGAAAGAAAGAAAGAAAGAAAGAAAGAAAGAAAGAAAGAAGAAAGAAAGAAGCCGGGTGAATGAACTTTAATGGGGGATGAGGAGCAAGGTGAAAAATGTGAGAGAAGGGAGAGGAGGCCCACAGAAGTGAGGATGCAGAACAGGAGAAAAGGAGAGAAGGGAAGAAGGGAAGCAGGAGTGAGGAGGCAGGAGGGAGAGGAAGGAGAGAAAGACCAGTAAGAGAAGAGGAGTCCAGGGAAGGAAGAACGGGAGGACAACCTGTACGTGAGCCTCAGCTCCGCAGGATCACCCCTAGCTTGCTTTGCGGTTCTAGATCCAGCCATCTGGGTCCTTACATCTTGATGAGTGAGAGAAAGAAAGACACCCCTCCACCAGTCCACTCAGGACTAACTAACCTGACAAGCCTATGATGGGGGTGAGGGGAACGGGGCAGATGCCATGCCGACCTAGTTCACACATACTAGCACCTGATGACCCTCCAAGGTCATACCCATCCCTTGTTTAATAATGAAGGTAGATCGAACCTCTTGGGCATTCCGTGTGGGAATGAAAATAGTTCAGCAGCCGCCGGAGGAAAAGTCACGTGACAGTTCCCTCAGTATCAAATGGTTGCTTGGTCCAACAGCTCAGCGTCTTCCTGTCTTCAGGTGGGGGGAGTCGATAAACAAGTTGTGCTGTGTCTACGCAGTGGAACCTCTGTTCCACCCTAAAAAGGAATGAAGGTGGCTGAGTCTGGAAGACCGTGCTAAGGGGAAGAAGCCAGGCACTTCAGTTGAATGCCCTATGAGTCCCTTTATGTGAAAGATTCACATCACAATGGGTATAGCTGTAGACCTGCCCATCAGAAGGCAGAAGTGGGGGGCAGTGGCCCAGTGGGTCTGGCTTCCTTTTGGAGGAAAAGGAGTATTTAGAAACAAGATGGGAAGCAGGGTTTGCCCAGCATCCTGAAAGTAGAAGGCCCTTTGGAGTCCTTTTTATTTTATTTTATCTCCCTGGCCCTGGGCAGCTGTTCACTTTAGCATGGCTGGTTTTATGTTATGTGAATTTCACCTCAATAAAAAAATGAAAGGCTAGTTGGCTGTGGTAGAAAATGCCTGTCATCTCAGCACTTAGGAGGTAGAAGCAAGAAGCAAGAATATCAGGAATTCAAGGTCACCTTGGCTACGTAGTGAGGCAAGGCTATGTGAGACCCTCTTTCTCAAAAAAAAAATGCTTTTCAATTAAAAAAATAAAGTAACTGAGAATTGGTCAGGGAGTCACTGAGTCGACATCTTTCAACATTTCTCTCACCTTCTTTGGGAACTAGCCCTTGTGCCCACATGTCACAACCTTCTCCAATGCCCAGGGGCAGCAAACACCTGCTCTGAAGTCTCAGATGATGGTTGAAAGCCCCCAGGATGCTTCTTTGTGCAGTGAGGTGGCCTGACCCAAAATCTCCTCGCTTAACCTGGCGAGTGGGAGCCTCCCTTCCAGGCCCCGCCTTCCAGAACCGGCTGCCTTCCTGAGCAGGTGGCATGCACCAATCTGCATTGAGAAGCTCAGCTTTGCGCTTCAGTTATCATTGAACCACCTGCCCCACCATCAGACCCACCTCATCCTTGTCATTTTGCTCCAAAGACAGCCTTCAAGGTGGTTCAGTGGGTAAAGGGACTTGTCACCAACCTGATTCCCTAGGACCTGCGTGGTAGGAGACAACTGATTCCCGCAAGTTGTCCTCTGATTCTCACACATGCACTATGGTACACACCATACACACACACACACACACACACACACACACACACACACACACACACACTAAATAAAAGGGGGCTGGCGAGATGGCTCAGTTGTTAAGAGCACTTGCTGCTCCTTCAGGGAACTCCGGATTCATTCCCAGCTCCCTCCCACATGGTCACTTGAAATCACTTGAACTCCAGTATCTGGGAATGTGATGCCCTCTTCTGGTCTGCACAGGCACCTACATGCACATGGTACACAAACTCATGCAAGCCCATACACATATACACAAAATAAATATAGTAAAATAAATCCAAAAACATTGTTAAAAATTTTTAATTAAAAAAAATTTTTTTTGGCTTTTTCAAGACAAGGTTTCTCTGTGTAGCTTTGGAGCCTGTCCTGGAACTCGCTCTGTAGACTAGGCTGGCCTTGAACTCACAGAGATCTACCTGCCTCTACCTTCCGAGTGCTGGGATTAAAGGCTTGTGCTAACACTGCCCAGCTTTTTTCTTTTCTTTTTTTTTTTTGGTTTTTTGAGACAGGGTTTCTCCGTGTAGTTTTGGTGCCTGTCCTGGATCTCGCTCTGTAGACCAGGCTGGCCTCAAACTCACAGGGATGCACCTGGCTCTGCCTCCCAAGTGCTGGGATCAAAGGCATGCACCACTTCCACCCAGCCACTGCCCAGCTTTAATTCAGTTTTTAATTAGGGGCAGGCAGATCTCTGAGAGTTCAAGGCCAGCCTAGTCTACAGAGCGAATTCCAGGACAGGCTCCAAAGTTACACAGAGAAATCCTGTCTCGGAAAAACAAAACAAAAACAAAAACAAAAACAAAAAAAAAAGCAAAGCCCTCTAGCCTGGCATGGTGGCACACACACTTTTAATCCCAGACACTTGGAAGGCTAAGGCAAAAGGGCTGTGAGCTGGTGGCCAGCCAGGACAAGTTAGCAAGACTGTCTTTGTCTGTCTGTCTGTCTTTTTGTTTGAGAAAGGGTTTCCCTGTGTAGCCCTGACTGTCCTGGAACTTGCTTTGCAGATCAGTATGGTCTTGAATTCAGACCTGCCTGCCTCTGCCTCTCAAATGTTGGGACTAAAGACACATGCCACCACTACCTGGCTCTTTTTTTTTTTTTTCAATAAAAATATTTTTATATGCATGGGTGTTTTGCATGCATCTATGTTTTGTCTGGTCTGGGTGGAGGCCATAAGAGGGTATTGGATCCCCTGGAACTGGAGTTACATAAGTTGTGAGCCACCATGTAGGTGCTGGGAATTGAACTCAGGTCCTCTGGAAGAGCAGCAAATGCTTTTTACCATTAAGTTATTTTTACAGCCCAAGACCCTATCTTAAAATAAATTTTTGGGGGCTAGGAAGATGGCTCAGGGGGTAAAGGCACTTGCCATCAATCCTGATGACCTGAGTTTAATCCCCAGAACCGACAAGGTAGAAAAAGAAAACCAGTTCCTGCAAGTTTTCCTCTGCCTTCCACACACACACACACACACACACACACACACACACACACACACCCCACACATGCATCCTATGTCACACTCATATTCCTACCTACACACACACACACTCCCCCACATACACCCAACACACATACTATGTCACACTCACCCCCCAACACACACATACCACGTCATACTCACATACCCTTCTTCCCACCCCCACATACAAATAAATAAATTAAAATTTTTTTTACATTTTTTGAGACAGTCTCATGTAGTCCCAGCTGGCCTCAAATTCACTACGTAGCTGAGGGTGGCCTTGAACTTGTGATCCTCCTGCCTTTTCCTCCCAAATGCTAGGATTACAGCTGTGCACCACCATGCCTAGCTTTTCCAAATTAAAAAACAAAAAAGAAAAGAAAAGAAATAAAAAAATGTAAAGGGCTGAGTGTTGTAGCTTGAGCACTTACCCAGCACATCCAAGAACCTGGGTTCTATTCCCAGCAGTGTAAAATAAAAAAACAAGGGCTGGAGAGATGGCTTAGTGGTTAAGAGCACTGACTGCTCTTCCAGAGGACCCTGGTTCAATTCCCAGCAACCACAGGGCAGCTCACAACTGTCTGTAACTCCAGTTCCTGAAACCCAACACCCATGGCAAAACACCAACGTATGTGAAATAAAAACAAATAAATAAAAAATAAAATAAAATAAAAATAATAATATAAAACAAACCAAACAGTCGAGTGGTGGTTGCGTACGCCTTTAATCCCAGCAGAGGCAGGCAGATCTCTGAGTTCAAGGCCAGCCTGATCTACAGGGTGATCACAGGACAGCCAGGGCTACACAGGAAAACCCTGTCTCAAAAAACAAACAAACATAGCCGGGCGGTGGTGGCGCACGCCTTTAATCCCAGCACTTGGGAGGCAGAGCCAGGCGGATCTCTGTGAGTTCGAGGCCAGCCTGGTCTCCAAAGCGAGTTCCAGAACAGGCACCAAAAGTACACAGAGAAACCCTGTCTCGGAAAAACCAAAAAAAAAAAAAAAAAAAAAAAAAAAAAAAAAAAAAAAAAAAAAAAAAAAAAAAAAAAAAAAACAAACAAACAAACCACTTATGATTGTTTTAATCACCACTAAGCTAAGAGCTCGGGTCTCTGGAATCTCACATTGCTCACAATCTCTGTCCCTTTCCAAGGTGCTAGGCCCTGGGCTGGCTGCTAGGGAACTGGCAGTGCAAGGCCTTCCAGAATGATCCACACTGCTCCCCTCATGGAGGCTTCCACTCCCACTAGCTCTACAGATGGGATAGAGACCCTCAGCTCTCTGAGGTCCTGACACAAGGTTCTCACCTTCTTCTCAGTCAAATGGACATGCATGCTCATCTCCAACAAATGCCCAGGCCCTCCTGACCTCTACAGCACATCCAAGGACCCCAAGGCACAGCTGCTCAGAGTGAAGTCTACGGATCAGGGCTGGCCTAGCTGCTGTTTGCCAAGGAGACAGAAACAGAGAATAACCTTGAAAAACCATGGCAGCCATTTGACACTGAAGCACGTGACTGTTTCTGCTGTGTTTTACAAAAGCATGATGCACAGTCATTGGGACACTTCAAAAGCAAGCCCCTCTATCGTAAAGGTTTGAAAAGGCACTGGTGTGTGTGTGTGTGTGTGTGTGTGTGTGTGTGTGTGTGTGTGTGTGTGTGTTATGTGTGTATGTATGTATGTGTGTGTATGTATGTGTGTATGTGTATATATGTGTATATGTGTGTATGTATATATGTGTATGTGTGTATATGTATATGTGTATATGTGTGTGTTGTGTGTGTATGATGTGTGTTGTGTGTGTATGATGTGTGTTGTGTGTGTATATGTGTGTGTATGTGTGTGTGTGTGTATGTGTGTGTATGTGTGTGTGTTGTCCTTGCTTTTGCCTTTGTTCCTGCCTCAGACCTCCATCCTGAAGGGAGCCCAGGCAATCCAGGGTTTCCTTCCCCAGTGGTAGCTTCTAGCAACCCTAGCCTTCTTCACCTTCAGTTAGCCATAGAGTAGTCCTCTGTCCTACACTTGCCCAATAGCAGATCATAAGACTCCTCATTCTGGAAGATTCATGGCCGGCAGCACGGAGGAATGCTGAAGGAGCTGAACGTCAAACCTGCCGCTGGCTTCCCTCAAGCTATCACGATGGTGCCCTGACTCCTCCGTGAAAACCCAGAAGGACAGGATCTGGCAAGTTTCCGGATGGCTAGACATGTGGAGGTTGCTGAAGTGTGGCCCAAGAAGAGTATATGGGAGTTCCGTGCCCTTCCCGATGCCTCACACACGCAGCAATTCATCTGTTCTGTGGAATAGCCTTATTTCTTTTTGTTTTGGTTTGGTTTTTTGTTTTTTGTTTTTGTGTTTTTTTGAGACAGGGTTTCTCTATAGCTTTGGAGCCTGTCCTGGAACTCACTCTGTAGACCAGGCTGGCCTCGAACTCACAGAGATCTGTCTGCCTCTGTCTCCTGAGTGCTGGGATTAAAGGTGTGTGCCACTACCG